AATATATATATACGAAGACATGAATATAAAGAAATATATTTATGATGATAAATCTACAAAGTTTTTGTCAATCTAAAGCTGCTTCAACCAGCTTCAGTTTCAATTTCAATTTGCATATCAAATTGCATTCAATCATTTCTAAATTCATTTTATTTAGCTGCAATCAAAATATAACTACTTTATGCTTTGATATGAATATGAAATTTAAATTTATTAAAGCTAAAGGTTATGAAATTGAAACTGAAATTGATTGATATTTGATATGATATTGAATGGAAATTGAAATTGAATGGGTAGAAATCCATTCAGCTTACATTGATTGAAGCTAGTTGATGTGAAGTCAAACGAGATGGATCGTCTAGTTCTGGGCACATTACGAAAGAGTTTTAAGTGTGAAAGCAAACTCCAATGCTGCTGCACAGTGTAAATACCAACTATCTATATGGGCAATCGTTGGCCTACAACTTTTTGCTTTCCCTCGTGTTGAGACATCGAGCGTCGCGTCCTCAGGCAAATGGCAGTCAATGGAGCTGATGGAGTGGTACTTGTACTGCAACTGGAATGGATGGGAGCTGGGAATTGGCAGTGGCACACAGAAAGGGGCGTGCACCGCCCGTCACATAAACGGAGGCGTTGGCGATAAATGGTCAATTGCATGCATCGATTGGCCAACAATTTATTGAACGTGTGTGCAAATTGATGCGGGGCTCGAGACTCTGTCACCTTAAAAGCAATTAAGGCGCGCGTGTTTGCATTTTAACTGGCGGACTGGGTGTACAGCGCCTCGGGGAGATGCATTGATTGATCGATTGATAAATGGCTCAATTGACTAACATTTTTCTTTATTTATGGGCTTCATATGAATAGCTGTTGGCTATTCGCTGATGTGTTAACAGCTAATAAATGCACATTTTGTATGAATGCGATAATTGGAGAGAGAGAGAGAGAAAGAGAGAGAGAAAAGGGAGAAATAAGAGATGGGATTAGTAAGAGAGAAAGGATGGACTTATACGACTTAGTCGAGAGAAGGAAAAAGTAAGAAATTATGAAAGAAAGACAGCGAAAGGAAGAGGGAGAAGGATGAGAGAGAGAACAAATTCGAGAAAATGGGAGAAAGAGAGAGATACAGAGTACTGTAGTAGGCTGTAGTAGGATAAACAGAGCTGTCGAAGAAAAATATGGAAGGAAAAAGAAATGGAAAGGGTTTATAGAAGGCGAGAATAAGATAATGAAAGAGAGAATAATGGACGAAGATGAACTAGAAACAGGGGGAGAGGGAACTATGGTGGGATTGTAAAACAAAAAATTGAAAAAGAGAGATATTGAAATCAAGTTGGTTGAGGGAGGAGGGCGGGTGGATGAAGAGGTAGAGCCAACACATTGTAAGCGATGTGCGATACTAATTTAATAGATTTGGAATATTATTAAATTGTGTAAGCTATAAAGGAAAATAGTGGCAGAGAGATAGAGCGAGAGAGGGAGGGAGCGTAAGAAAAAAAAGGTGTACATACGGTACACATGCAGCCTGAATATACTGGAGGAAATAGTCCACTCCTCCTGGAGTGAGCGAGAAAGATAGATGAAAAGAAAGTGAAATATAGAGAATAGAATAGAGAGGGAAATATAGAGAGAGAGAAGAGAGTAGGAGTGAGAGTGGAATAGAGAGAGAAAGAGAAAAGGAAGTATTTTAAAAGAAGGAGTGTAAGTGAAATAGGCAGATATAGATAGAGAGGAGCGAAAGAGAAAAAGAGATAAAGAGAAGTAGTGCGAGTGAAGTAGAGATAAATAGATAGAGAGGAGTGTGCGTGAAATAGAGATAGAAGAACCGAGGGTTAAATAGATAGACAGAAGAAATGCGACTGAGTACAGATGAGAAAAATCATAATATACAGGAAAGAGAAGGAATTGCTATCTTCAGTAAAGAATCTGTAAAAGGTTTACGAAGGCGACACAAAGGACATATGCAATAATGTAGAGTACAGTTAGATATAAGCCTTTATTACGACAATACCTGAGCCAAATTCAGGATTGGGTCAGGAAGAGTGAGAAGGAAAGGGAGAGAGAGAGAGAGAGAGAGACAGATTGAGCAGTAGCTACTGCTCTCTATAGATCGCCAGTGCATAAATTCCATAGAATTACAGTAATAATAATAATATATTTGTTTGGTTAAGTCTTTAGTAATATTTTTATTCACATTCAGGTATAACAAAAAAAACAAAAAAAAAAAACACGATCGCATAAGCTAAGAAGACAAGACAACGCGTTCAACATTGAGCTATTTACACTTATATGGACACATATGATCGATTAAAGTATATATAGTGTATATATATGGAATATATATATTGAGTATAGAGGAGTACTTGTATGTGGCGTACATATGGAGCACATGGATCCTTACTGCCAGTTGGTGGGCACGAACTGGACGGGATTGGCCAGGAAAGGCGGCGGCGGCAGGGCGTTGATGCTGTGCGRAATAGAGAGCAGGATTAGAGATCGATGGGGCAGTGGTTGATGGCTGGGTACTCACCTCATGGGCTGGCTGGTCTCGGCCAGGATGGTGCGATAGGCGCGTGGACGTGGTGCCACATAGTTGGCGGAGGCAAAGCTGCGTGGATTGGCCACGGGGAAACGTATATTCGTATTGGCCCGGGCGCCAGGGCGTGGACGTACGATGCGGCCCAAGCGAGCCTGAGCTTCTGTAGCAGCCGATGCGCTCGCTGCGGCAGCGCCACCACCGCCAACAGCAGCAGCGCCGGCAACTGCACCGCCCAATGTTGGCAGGCCAGGACCGAAGCCAAATCCGAGGCCTGCTCCGGCCACAGGCGCCGGAGCGGTGTACATGGCGGACAGCTGGATGGGCACGAAGGCGGGCAGCGAGACGGTCAGTGGCACAGCTGGCGGTGCTGGTGGTGCGGGTCCAGGTGCCGGTGCGGGTGCGGGTGCAGGCGCAGGTGCTGGCTCTGGCTCCGGCTCCGGTTCGGGCTCTGGCTCTGGTTCCGGCTCTGGCTCCGGTTCAGGCTCCGGCTCAGGCGCTGGCTTCGGCGTCGGCTTGGCTTCGGCCGACTTCCAGGCGGCCAGCAGAGCGAGCACCTCATCCCGCGTTATGTGATTCGAGTGTGAAGGCAGCTCGAAGCTGGGCGCGCTGCTCCAGCCGCTGCTCCATGGACCAGGTGGCGGTGGGCCGTAAAGCGAACGCTGCGCCCGACCAGGCACGAACTGAGCGCTGGCCAAGCCAACGAGGCTGACCAGAAGGATGTGTAGACACATGTGATTGCACTTAAGTCCGAGCATGTTGATTACAGTTGAATGAGCGATGCTTGTCTGCGCGCCAATTGTCCAGACGCTGGCTTATATATGCCCAGCTTCTCGAATTGGGTTAGATGAAGTTGTAGCTGGCTCCGGAAGCGGCTGCCTGAGGCCTCGATCTCCCCCTGCGCCAGCCCGCCTAGCGTCAATTGGCATTGGCATTTGGGCAACTGGTTCAAATGCCTGCGAATGATAAGGAAGCCAGCGAGAGAGACGCAATCAGCGTGTACCATTTAAGGCCGCATTGCATCACAAGCAGAGCAAGCAGTCAGCCAGTCAGACAGACAGACAGACAGACAGCCAGTTAGCAGGCCAAACTGGTTGATCGTCTCGGCGAACCATGTAGCGCAGTGTAGCATGTGTGTATTGGCTTATTGTTTGCCCGCCTGGCAGTCCCAGCTCTTTTCATCCTCGTGAAACTGTATGAGCACCAGCTCGTAGGTGACTATGCTGCCAGCGACCTGGCGGCGGTTCAGATTAAAAAATAAATAAATAAATGAAAGACAAGAAGACGAAGAAACGCAGGTGGCTCGCTGGCGAGCGAACTCCACACTCACAGTCAGACAGAGCTTCCTGGTGACGTTGAAAAACCGGAGGCCGCTCAGCGACACATTATCGCTGGACAGCTCGTTGGCCAGGCGCTGGACCTCGCTCAGATAGCCCGACGGCGGCACCAGCTGCAGCAGACGCAGCGGATCGCGCGCCCGCTCGTGCACCGCCGACACGAACAGCAGAACCGACAGCGAGCGGCCAATCAGAAATGCGAGCGAGAAGTAAAAGTAAACGGCGTGCATGGTCGATGGCATTTCGCTTAAGGAGGACCATATGAGAGCGAGAGAGGGAGTGGGAGTGGGGGAGGGCGAGGGAGAGAAGGGGGTGGAGGCATGTGAAAGAAAGTGAAAATTATTGTAAGCAAACAGTTATCAGATAGTTTGTATGCTAATCACTGACTAGGAGTCAAGATTAGTTATGGGAAAACATTTACGTAAAGATAGAGAAAGCAAACACATGAGAGGGAGGGCGAGAGGGGAGTGCACGCGGGAGGAAGGTGGCTAGAAATGGGAGATAGAAAGACATGTGGAAGGAAGCAATAGATGGAGGGAATGAAGGGTATACATATATAAGAAGGAAATAATGCATATATAAAGTACAGAGAGAAATAGAGAGAGAGAAAATATATTACCAGAAGAAAAGAAGAAGAGAGAAACAATGAATCCAAGAGGACCAAGAGATAGATAAGGATACAGAGAGAGAGAGAGAGAGAGAGAGAGAGAGAGAGAGAGAGGGGGGGAGAAAGAAAATATGGAGGGATGGTAAGGATAGAATGGGAATTAAAGATTTGAAGAAGATGATAGATAGAAGTTGCTAGAGACAATGTGAGAGATAGCCAGAGCAGGAGAGACATAGGAGATATGGGGAGAGCGAAAGAGATAGGAAAAGAAGAAGAGATGTAGACCCGTCGAGTGAGAGGGAGAGACGTAGACACAAAGACAAGAAGAGAAAGAGAGAAATAGACAGAAAGAACTACGAAGACAAGAAGAGAAAGAGAGACATAGAGAGAATGAACTGCGGAGAGGGACACTAGCATAGGTAGCATCTCTCTAGAAATATAGAGAGATAAATAGATGGATATATAAAGAAAAAGAGGAAGCTAGAGATATATGCATAAATAGAAATATAAAGTCAGATATAGGAGAAAGACAGATGCAGAGAGTACAAAGTGTGAAGAGAAAACGACGAGAAAGAAATAAGAAAAATAGCAGAGAGAATTGTAGTAGTAGAAGAAAAACAGAAACGAACAAGATATGAGGAAAGGCAAAGAAACTAAATTAGTGAGACAAAGGGAAAAACGTGGAAACGCAAATTGAGAAATATTGAATATATATATGAATATATAAAAAACAAGTGAAGATGATCTAAAGATCTTGTGTTAAAGCTAAACTAAGAGCAAGCTAGACTAGAGCATGAAGTAAAGGAGAGCAAATGGAAGCTAGCACTCACTTGATGCTCTTCAGGAGCTGCAGGCAGATGAAGTACACATTGGAGCCGAACGATATGAACGTAATGCCGGAGATGGCATCGTCCACGTCATAGATGAGCTCCACAATCGACCGATAGCGTGTGCGAACATATGTCCAGAACTTCTCGGGCATGGGCTGCAATGGGGGCCAATGGGGCTAAGGATATGGCGCTCTATAATGGAAGCGTCGGACTCACTCGCTCCACCAGCTGCTGCAGTTGACGTGTGAGTCGTGTGAGCAGATGACTCAGGCCGATGCTCACGAGGATGACGAACAGATCGATGTAATTCCAGCCAAAGGTGAGCAGCACATTCAGTAGCTTGCCCAGCCAGCCAAGCCAATTGCTATAGGGAAAGACATGAAAGAACTGGACGGCGACCGCATAGAGGTACGACTCGACTGGATCCTGGCGCAGTGGGCAGACTTTATGATAAACAGACGAGATGATGCTCAACAGGTGTTCCACTGCAAGGAAAGGGAAGGACAGAGATAAAGAGTCATTGAGATTCTCAATGATTAGATAACCACTTCACAATCTCGTTACTCAACTGAGCGACAGCGAGAGTAGAACAGACGCCACGCTGTGTATGCGCCGAGCCAGTTGCTCGCGTTCCTTCCAGCTGGCGTAGGGCGGCAGGTGACTCTCCACTCTCGCCCAGCGCCGCATAAGCTGGGGCCATTGGCGGGCCAATTGCAGGAATTGGTAGCTGGCCCACAGGATGCTGCCATTGAAGACAATTGGCTCTGCAAGAAAGAAAGTAGTTATCGCTGAGATACCCTAGAAACCGCTGCAGAACGGGGTAGTCTTTTATATGCAACATCTAATCATATCGGGTAAAACCTTTGACATCTCAATTGATTCCCGCCGTATGTTACAAACAAAAGCTAAAAACCAGCATACCCCATTCTCACCGGCTGCTCGTGCACAGTTATGCAATGTTACCCACCCACACTGCGCATATCCAGACCGCCATGCAGCGCGAAATTGACAGCGAACAGCGCATCGAAAGAGATGGCGCCAATGTAGAGCAGACTGTAGCAGGTGCGCCAGCTGCGACGGCTGAAGGAGAGGCCGCGCGACGTTGCCGCCCGCACGCCGCAGACGGGCATCAGACCAAAGCACTGAGCGATGACAAGCACTGCAAAATGGTGGACGTTGGAGTGGGGAAGGGGACAGGGATGTGAATGGGACGCAACAAATGAGGCATTTTCATTTCATTCATTCGCTCACCTGGCGAGATTGCTACATGAAAGCTGCCATCATGCAAATCACTCCTGTTTGTTGCCTGCCACGCCCATCGCTGACGCTGCTCCACACGTTTGAGCAAGGCGCGGCCGTGTTGTTGCAGTTGCTGTTGCCGCCGGCGACGTTGTTTGCTTATTTGAACAGGCCACATGAATGCGCGCGCCTTCCGTTTATTGCGGTACTTTGTCAGCGGTGGGACAATTTTCAAATTTTTGCATGCGGCGAGCGGGTGTGGGCGATCATCCGATTGATTGCTATCGCAGTTAATTTTTATCGGCACACGCTCGGCACTAATGTGCTTTAAATTGCCAGCACTGTGGAACGATTCCTACAGGAAACGGATAAGCTACAAATAATGCCATTTATTATACAACTGTACAGTGACTTGCAAACGGTGCCAGTTATTTGCATTTATGAATTGCAAATTGAGGAAAAGAAATTAATCAAATGTAAAAAAAAATGTTGTGAGCTGTCAAGAACCGAGTTAAAAGATATTTTGAGCGACCGTTGATTGATTTGGTCCACAGTGCATAAATGGTAAAATAATGCGAAATGAATTCGGGCTAAGAGATTATGGCGTGCCTAGTGCAAAATGTCAAAGGTTATGGTCTAAACGATCTATGATAGCGAAAGTGCCTGCCCTCCGATATAAAGACTACACTGCTAGAAAAAATTTTATAAAATATATTCATTTAAATTATT